TCCTGCAGACACGGCAGCCATCCAAAGCCTAAGAGATCAATTGGGGGTAAGGTGTTGGAAGCCTGTACAGTGTAATTAATTGATCGATGAATAGCTACACTGTCGATAGATGGATATTTTACAGTCAACCTACATCAACAGCTTTTTTCCCTTTCTTTGTAGAAGTGGCAGTGCGAGCTCTCCGAGCAGGAGGGCGTCTTCGAGTCCCTTCAGTCGGACGTCCTCCAGGCCAAAGAGGCGACGTCCCGTCTCACCGTCCTCCACCCGGACCGCAACCCCGAGATGGAGCGCTACCAGGAACGAGCCAGTCAGGCGGCGGAGCGGTGGTGCGGTGTTAAAAAGCAGATCGAAACGCGGTGAGTGGCGCAGGATGTTGTCACGCCCACAAGTGAAATTCACTCACCATATGGTAGATTATGATACGTATATTTATTTATTTTTGTTTGTGTTTTGTCCCGTGAGGACAGGCGGGCAGAGCTGCAGGGTATTGCCTCGGTTCTGCAGCAGTACAGAGACGGACACTCGGAGCTGATGACGTGGATCCAAGAGACCACGCAGCGGCAGGAGAACACACCGGCTGGGACCACTGACAGCAAGGCGCTCTCCGAGCAACTGGCGCAGCAGACGGTCAGTCCACACACAGTCTGACGATACTAAAAAAATGAGTCTAAACAATGTTAATACATGTGGATATGATTTTGGACTTGTTACTGCTTATGTAATAGGCTTTGGTCGCTGAGATCGAAGACAACCAGACCAAACTCGATGATTGCCAGGCTCACTCCAAACATTACTGCACCTCAGTCAAGGTCAGTGTGTATAGTGTGTTGGTAGTTGACACAGTGATTGGATAAGACAAGCTATCAAGTTATTTATATAAAAAGTGTATGTAGATATTTTAATTCGTGACTGTGACAAAGGGTCAATATGGCAAACGAACACAAAACCTGACATTTGTGGTTCAAGAAAGTAAAAGCCGTGATTGGTGATCTCAAGATGCAGCTCAGATTGTAATTTCCTCGCAATGTAAAATTTATCCCTCCCCAGTCACTGATGCATCAACCTGTTTATTTTCTGACAAGGTGATGTGATTGGCGCCGTGTGACATTTTCATGCCAAAGCACTTTGTCAATTCAAAATGATTTTCTCTGCAGGATTACGAGCTTCAGCTGATGACTTTCAGAGCCTTCGTGGAGTCCATGCACAAGTCACTGGTGAAGAGGAGGAGGATGCACTCTTCCTCTGACGCCATCACTCAGGAGGTCTGAGCACATTCATTTGAAATTTGTGTTCATATGTGAATACATTTCAGAAGTTTTTCCCCCCCCGTCCAGTTCATGGACCTGCGCACACGCTACACAGCATTGGTCACGTTGACTACGCAACATGTCAAGTACATCAGTGACGCCCTCAGACGACTGGAAGAAGAAGAAGTGAGATTTTAATCATGAAATATGTATTTCATAGCAAAGCATTCATTCAAGGGGGATCACTGGC